CCTGCAGTTCACTTAATCATATAAGTTATAAAGATAAAGAAGAAAAAGAGTTCTCATACATGAGTCACAATGCTCTCGAATTTAGGCTTGCTGGCTTTCTGAATTCTCTCCTCCTCATTGATGAGCTTCGTTTCATCCATCGCTATCTTCTCAACGTATTTCTGGAAACAGAAAGCTACTCATCATAAAAAGAACAAGGCAAAAATTCGCGATCGCCGTTCGTCTTAGGCCGCGATACTTTGCGACAAAGGAGATTTGGCGATGTGGGAACTCGGCGGTTTAGAAAACTGCGCGACGAGAAAAGTCCCGATCGCTCAATCCCCGCAGTCGCCAGACGATACATAAATAAAATCTGAACGCCCTCTTATTGTTAGGGAGAGGGGACGTGCTAGTTCGCCAGTTTCTTCACCTTAACGAGAATAGTGGGCATTATTGAACTATTCCTACCCCGAAAACTCAAGAAACGTTGCCAATATGTGTAATTCGATGCCCTGATCACGAATCACATCCGTTTCGAGCGCTGGCGTCATTTGGCGCCCACCACTTTTTTCACCAAAGTCGATGAAAACTTGCATATGGGGGTTAATTGAGGTCCTGATTACGAATCCAACATTTATTTTTGGCGCTGGCGCCATTACGCGCCAATTTGGCGCCATATTGGCGCATAATGGCGCCAAATGGCGCCAGCGCTCGAAACCAGTGTGATTCGTAATCAGGATGTCGATTAACCCCCATATGCAAGTTTTCATCGACTTTGGTGAAAAAAGTGGTGGGCGCCAAATTGGCGCATAATGGCGCCAAATGACGCCAGCGCTCGAAACGGATGTGATATTCGTGATCAGCGCATCGAATTACATCTATAGGCAACGTTTCAGCGAAAAAATTTTGAGTTTTTGGGGTAGGAATAGTTCAATAGTGCCGAAAAGTGTATTCCTGTAAAGCTGTAAAATGGAACAAGCTCCACGGTGCCGTCGCGGGACAATCCATGTAGAACAGGTACAGCATCGTTGTGTGAAACACAGGCGGGGTCGTACTATGGCCGCTGGGATGAAGGGGGGTCGTATTTATGGCTTTGAAGAGAAATTTGCCTCTTGGGAAATGTTCGCGTTATTAGCGTTTTCGGGTTTTTTCCTGTTTCATGTCATAGCCCCCCCCCCTTCCCATCCCGCTCATAATTCTTAAAGTGAAAAAAAGTTTGGAAATTTACGGAAGTGGTAGGAAAGATTATGAATTTGTAATGGTAAAAGTGGTAAGGAAGGTGTGGGAAGAGTGCCAGACGTACCACCAGACCGACTCCCTCGAACGAGTGGGGGGGGGGTCATACTGACACCACCATTTCATACATCACGATGCTGTACCCTGTTGTAAACTTGCGAAATGGTAAACAGAGTAAGACTACGCTGATTTAACAGGAGTTTTAACAAGGCTTTAACAAAGGCTAAGCTTCACATCAGCTAAGTATAAACGCCTGAGTACTAATTCGTAGCTGCAAAAGAGTTTCTTGGTCTCCAAACCGCTGAGTTCTAGTAAGATGCCCCCACCCCTGGGTTGAACTGCAGCGATGATTCGAATAAAATTGAAAAGGTTTAATGAAATTAATCCAAATACCTGGTAATCGTCAGCCTTTGGATTATAGGATGCACCTGCATCAGGGACCGCTACGGCATCCAGTAAGCTAGGTTTGAATCGACATGTAGAAGGCATATTCGGAAGCTTCTTCTTCGTGTATCTCAGTAGATGTTCTCCAGCTTCTTTGAATTCGATATCAACTTTTGGAACAAAATCTAAATTTACGTGTTAAAACTCACTTGCAAGATTACGTTTATCATAGCTACACTCACCTTTCTCCCACAAATCGTACGTCTGTTTTTGTTGAGGTGCCTTCACCTCCTCGTTCCGCTTCACTTGTTTCTTCAGTTTTGGCTGCTTTTTCGTCGGGAATTTAGGTGCAGGTAATGCTTGCTTCTCCTCACTGAAAGCATCGAAAATGCAGCGTTGAAAAGTATTTGGGCACTGTTCGGCTTAGGTGGGGTGTTTTGCACCTCTGCTAGTTTCATTTACAGGTCCCTGTTGAATTACACGTCTGACCTTGGCAAGACCCGTGGACTTTCGTCAAAATGAGCTCTAGCTATTGCACAGCTTTACAGGAATTCTTAGGTCTCCACAGGTGGCACTGACAGTGATTGATGGGAACCAGCTGAATGCCCCTACCAAGCCGAATGCGCACCTATACTATGGTTACAATAGTTATGGATTTGTTAATAATACGTTCACATCCCGAATCGGCTACCGCCACCGCCTTCCACCCCCTGGGAACGGCAAATCCTTATCAGATTCGCCTGGGAGGATGAGACATTCATCGGCTGGCTCCCGCAAGTATGCCACTACGATTCTGAGTGGAAGTAGAATGCGTGCCGTATCCCACAAAGACGACTGATCAACGAAGAAGGCTTCAACCTTTTTTATTACCATTTTGGGCGCACTA